CACAAAAACTCGAGAGGCACATGTACAGCAAGCCTGCTTTAATTGAGTGCGTGAGTTGGGTTTTACATTGCTTTTCACAAAATACCAGGTTCATCTGAACAGCCGATATCAGTAATGACCTTCACATGTTGCATCCGAGTTCTCAGTCAAACGCAGGTGTTTGGATTGATGGGACACTTTAACCACAAACATCATGGATGATTAAAGATTCCAGTAAAATATACAAGGAGAATTTTACCCAAATTTTACACCTTCCAGCCTTGTTTGTCCCAGATGAATATGATAACCCTGTTCTAACATATTATGAGAGCTTCAATCAATATTGAGCTGAATGAATGAGTCCTTCTCTCGGGATTAATCTCGATCTGCTCTGGGGCAGATATTCAACCCAAATTCTGTAGCAAATGTCAGCAGAAAAAACAAACTGAAATTTCCAAGCTAATGTTATTATAGTTATGATTAAAATAAATAGCAAACAAATTTTATTTAAACCATAACAAATCTCTACTTAAAGCACCAGGAGTCTGCTTACAAATGTAACTACAACAAAACATTTTAAGAATCACAAATGCCATGGTTTTGAAAGGTGAATTATTGTAAGACATCGAAAACAGGGCCAACAAGGGGCTTTAATGCTCTTCCCATTGAGTACAGTGTTGACATTCAATGTTAAAATACCTCTGCATTTCAGACAAAGAAAACAATCCCAATTTTGAACAAAACTTTGTCCAATTTGCCTGCCAAGGGCAGTATGGAATCCTACCTTTCTCCTACAAAACATGGAATTACTCTATACAGCTCAGGCAGTTTACAAACTTTTTAGTGAAAAAGACACAAAACATTTGTTGAAATACTCTTCATCCTCAATAACTTGAATTACAGTAACCATGGTAACTCAACACACACAGTAGAGACATAACTCCAACGTCCTTGACGGGACACTGGTGGCCCAGTTGTCTAAAGAGTTGCACAAATCCCTACAGAGTAGTATTCCTTAGGTGTGAAAGGATCCAGTGATCGTGGGTTTGAATCTCAGATTTTTCACTCTGATTTTCATTTGTGGTTTGTCCTCACCATACCTACAGTGGTTTTCACCAATGGAAAATGTTGCAACCTTTACCATTTGGAGCACTTTGTTAAACCATTAAACTGAATCTAAAAGTCACCGTCTCTAAAAAATATTCTCCAATTTTGACAGTGTTATTTTATCTGTCCATGACAAGGAAACCTGATTCTCAAAATATATCATGACATTACAGATAATCTCCATAAAATGTTGAGTAGAATATAATATGATTAAACCCTAGAGCAACAAGAAGAATATGACTGATTACCAGGAACCTGACTCAATGAACCACATGGGTTTAATAAAGCTCTGGAAAAGTCTGTCATTTCTTCCACATTGGGTCAGCTTAACTCTGAAGGAAAGATCAAAGTGACACAAGTTGTAGACATCGAACAGATAAAGTTTTAATAAAGTTTAGACGAAGAGCTGTAGAAAGTTTCATGAAAACCTGACAACACTGAACTCTAACGTCTTGTAATTTCAGGCCCCTGTTCCACAGTGATATTAGCACACAAACAGTAATAGCTAACATACTTTGACACTGACTGACTGACTGACTGACTGAGTTTGGTTTTACGCCGCTTTTAGCAATATTCCAGCAACATCACGGCGAGGAGTCACCAGAAATGGGCTTCACACATTGTACCCATGTGGGGATTCGAACCGGGTTTTCGGCGTGACGAGTCAACGCTTTAACCACTAGGCTACCCCACCGCCACTTTGACACTGACTATGTGAGTGAACAACTGATACATGGTTTCATGTATTCCAGCAGTAAAACAGCGGTCACACCAGAAATGAGTGGGGGAGTTGGATATTACACCGTTTTTTAGCAATATTCCAGCAATATCAGGCAAGGGACACCAGAAATGGGCTTCATACGATGTGCCCATGTCTGGATTCGAACCTGGGTCTTCAGCGACATGAGCAAATGCCTTAACCACTAGGCTACCCCACCGCCCTGACACCAGAATTGGGCTTCACACATTGTACCCATATGGGGAATAAAACAGTGGGTGAACACTTTAACCACTTGGCTACCCTACCACCCCATTAACCATCAGCAGTTCAAGCACTAATATAACTTTGTTGACAGACCCTTGAGTTGAAAAAGGAATGAGAGACAGGTGACAGAGCTAAAAAGTGGATCAGAATGGTCTGAGGGTCATTGTTTCAATCAATATATTCTATGAGGTCTGTAAGATAAATTGCTCCTGTTTCCTGTATTGGTACATGGACCGCAAGTCAGAAGAGTTACGATCACTGATATAATAAACTAAATTATATAAACACATGTAATGGTGTCTAAAGAAGACCCGTCACGCCGAAGACCCAGGTTCGAATCCCCACATAGGTACAATGTGTGAAGCCCATTTCTGGTGTCCCCCGCCGTGATGTTGCTGGAATATTGCTAAAAGCGGCGTAAAACCAAACTCAGTCAGTCAGTCAGTCTAAAGAAGACCCTACATTCTGCAGCCTACATGACCATGAAAGATATTTCTGCTATCTATATTCAGTCACAGAAAATTGACAAACACACACCATCTATCTTTCACTCAAGAACCTAAGATGATTATTTAAGACATTATTATGGTGAACATGTTTTCCATGTTTCATTCCAATACTTTTCACAGCTATTTGTCACTTCACAAGAAAATACATCTGTTTCTAAAGATAATCAAGATCGAGTATTTTTTTGCCCTGATGTTATATATTTAGAACTTACCATTATACCTATGTAATTACACCATGGAAATTCAGATTTAAAGAATCAAAGACAAAACAGAACCTAAAGTTCCACGGCCAAACAAGAGATTCAAACCAGGATTCTTCATGATCATGATTCAACATGAATAATTAAACTTAAACTCATCTTGGCTATGATTAAACCAGGTTAAACAAAACCAGATTCGAGGAAAACAGTAGAAAAAGCGATTGTGTGACAATGATACGGATTTAAAAATGGAATGTTTCAAACAATGGTGCCAGGAGTCTTCATCCTGGACGATTTTTGTACATGAACAGTCATGATGCAAAAGATGTGGCACATGATCATGCGATGTGTCCATTCATTTGACTTACTCCGGACGTGGAGATAATTAACGAGTTGTTAATTACACGTATCACCTTGACAGCAAGTCATAGACAATGGTGTTAACTGAAATAATGCCCAGGTCGTACTTAATTTCACTTCTGTTTATCCACAGGATTAATCCACCTGAATAAGCATTTCAAAATGTTGATCAAGAAGTTCTTGGCTATTGCATGTCTCATGATTTATAGATCACCTTTGAAAAATATGTTTCCAAATACATTCGAAGTATACCAGTTCAGTCAGTTAGATGGCAGCACAGAAAAAAAACATCTTTTTGAAATTGTCAGATGTGTTCTTCCTTGACCAAAAAACACTTTGAAGAATCAGACACTGCCTTGAGGATATTTATGTTATAGGAATGCAAGGTACTGCCGGTATATTGGTCTGTCCCAATACGTCTTTCAAATGATACATATTGCAATGTTTTTTTCTAAGAACCGGTACATTGGGTAATGAAAATACACAAAGTTTTGAGATTATCTCTGTAGTTTAAGTTAAAATCTACACAGATTTTCATTCACACTGAAGTTTCCCATTTTAATTAATCATAAAAAGAAAATACAATTCCTCAAAATCAAATCTAAATTCTATATATTTATGTTATCATAACAATAAAATATATTTTTAGGGCTTCAGTGTGTACAAAACAGGCTCTGCATGTACAGTCAATGTCACTCAAAAACAAACACTGAAGATCCCAATATATTGCAATACATATCAAATTACAGGTACCAGGATAAAAATATATTGCAATACAATATATGTGCTAATTCACAGCTCTATTATGTAACATAATGTGTTTGTATTATTGAACAAGGTGGTGGGGTAGCCCAGTGGTTAATGCATTTGCTCATGACCCCACAAGCTTAGGTTTGATTCCCAACATGGGTACAATGAGTGAAGCCCATTTCTGGTGTCTTCAACCATGATATTGCTCAATATGGCTACAAGTAGCATATAACCATACTCTCTCCCTCAACTCATTTCATTGAACAATATAGAGTGGCAATACCGATCTCTTAATGACTGCGTCACCACGTAATTTAGCGTATGAGCTTACCCACATACACACAAGAGATGAGAGTGAGTATGGTTTTATGCCACTTTTAGCAGAAATAGGCTTCACACATAGTTCCCATTTTCAGAATTGAAGCCATGTTTTCTGAGTGACGAGTGATTGCTTTAATTACTAGGCTACACCGCCACCCTCCAAGAATTTAGAAGTCTGAATGTTGATTGGTGGATATGAACGTTCAACTGACGTGGCCACCTATGAAGCTGTCTTCGGATCTCCAAAGAGTGCAAGATCTGATTTTAATCAAATTGGGTAAAGAATGTGATACGCAGTGAAAAAGTTTTAAAATTCCATTGCAGAGCAGGACTCTGGGTACAAGCATTGAATCCTCATTTACACTTTCCTGACTGAGATGAACAACGAATTCATCCTTTCAAGCCGATTGTTGTTCCCATCGGAGATGAACATTGAATCCATCCTTTCAAGCCTTACCATTCTTCCCATCAGAGATGAACAATGAATTCATCCTTTCAAGCCTTACCATTCTTTCTATCAGAGATGAACAATGAATTCATCCTTTCAAGCTTATTGTTCTTCACATTGGAGATGAACAATGAATACACCCTTTCAAGCCTTACCATTCTTTCTATCAGGAGATGAACAATGAATTCATCCTTTCAAGCCTTACCATTCTTTCTATCAGAGATGAACAATGAATTCATCCTTTCAAGCCTTACCATTCTTTCTATCAGAGATGAACAATGAATTCATCCTTTCAAGCCTTACCATTCTTTCTATCAGAGATGAACAATGAATCAATCTTTTCAAGCCTTACCGTTCTTCCCATCAGAGATGACGTCCATCTCACCCTTCTGGACAATGGTCACGTTCCCAAGTTGCTGACACAGTTGTTTCAGGCTGACAACAGGGTTCTCAGGGTTCGGCTTCCTCTCCACACTGAGGAGACAAAACGTAAGTAAGTATGTCTTGTTTTAAAACTGCTTCATGTCAGGTATATGTAGGGGGCATTTACCATACCATTTGGTGACAACAACTAGTTGAGATCAGTTATCATGGTGTATTTGGGAATCATTATCATGTGAACCCACAATGACTATTGGATGCCCTCTTCCTCCAACCTCAGAAATCTATGTTTTAAAATCATCTGTGTGTCATATCAAGAAAGAGAAAATAAGAATGGGAAAAGCAATGAAGTGTTAAACAGAGACAAATGTGTGTATGAATGCATTAATGGCATCCTGACAACAGTGTGAATGACATCCCATCAACAATGTGAAAGGCATCCTGTCAACAATGTAAAAGGCATCCTATCAAACATGTGAATGGCATCCTGTCAACAATGTGAATGGCATCCTGTCAACAATGTGAATGGCATCCTGTCAACAATGTGAATGACATCTAATCAACAGCTTATCCTATCAACAGTGTGAATGGCATTCTGTCAACAATGTAAAATGTATCCTGCCAAATATGTAAATGGCATCCTGACAATAGTGTGAATGGCATCCTAACAACAGTGTGAATGGCATCCTGACAACAGTGTGAATGGCATCCCAACAACAGTGTGAATGGCATCCCAACAACAGTGCAAATGGCATCCCAACAACAGTGTGAATGGCATCCCAACAACAGTGTGAATGGCACCCTAACAACAGTGTGAATGGCATCCTGACAAGTGTGAATGGCATCCTGTCAACAATGTGAATGGCACCCTAACAACAGTTTGAATGGCACCCTAACAACAGTGTGAATGGCATCCTGACAACAGTGAGAATGGCATCCCAACAACAGTGTGAATGGCATCCTAACAACATTGTGAATAGCATCCTGACAACAGTGTGAATGGCATCCAAACAACAGTGTGAATGGCATCCCGACAACAGTGTGAATGGCATCCCTGACAACAGTGTGAATGGCATCCCGACAACAGTGTGAATGGCATCCTAACAACAGTGTGAATGGCATCCCGACAACAGTGTGAATGGCATCCCGACAACAGTGTGAATGGCATCCCAACAACAGTGTGAATGGCATCCCAACAAGTGTGAATGGCATCCCAACAACAGTGTGAATGGCATCCCGACAACAGTGTGAATGGCATCCCGACAACAGTGTGAATGGCATCCCAACAACAGTGTGAATGGCATCCCAACAACAGTGTGAATGGCATCCCAACAACAGTGTGAATGGCATCCCCACAACAATGTGAATGTTATCCTAACAACAATGTGAATGGCATCAGAACAACAAAATGAATGGCATCCCAGCAACAAAGTGAATGGCATCACAACAACAATGGGAATGGCATCTAAACAGCAAAGTGAATGACATCCTGACAACAGTGTGAATGGCATCCCAACAACAGTGTGAATAGCATCCCAACAACAGTGTGAATGGCACCCTAACAACAGTGTGAATGGCATCCTGACAAGTGTGAATGGCATCCCAACAACAATGTGAATGGCATCCTAACAACAGTTTGAATGGCACCCTAACAACAGTGTGAATGGCATCCTGACAAGTGAGAATGGCATCCCAACAACAGTGTGAATGGCATCCTAACAACATTGTGAATAGCATCCCAACAACAGTGTGAATGGCATCCAAACAACAGTGTGAATGGCATCCCGACAACAGTGTGAATGGCATCCTGACAACAGTGTGAATGGCATCCCGACAACAGTGTGAATGGCATCCCAACAACAGTGTGAATGGCATCCCAACAACAGTGTGAATGGCATCCCGACAACAGTGTGAATGGCATCCCGACAACAGTGTGAATGGCATCCCAACAACAAGTGTGAATGGCATCCCAACAACAAACAACGTGTGAATGGCATCCCCGACAACAGTGTGAATGGCATCCGACAACAATGTGAATGGCATCCGACAACAGTGTGAATGGCATCCCACAACAGTGTGAATGGCATCCCAACAACAGTGTGAATGGCATCCCACACAACAATGGCATCCTAACAACAATGGCATCCCAGACAACAATGTGAATGGCATCCCAGCAACAAAGTGAATGGCATCACAACAACAATGGGAATGGCATCCCAGCAACAAAGTGAATGGCATCTACAACAACAATGTGAATGGCATCCACAACAACAGTGTGAATGGCATCCTGACAACAGTGTGAATGGCATCCCAACAACAGTGTGAATGGCATCCCAACAACAGTGTGAATGGCATCCCAACAACAGTGTGAATGGCATCCCAACAACAGTGTGAATGGCATCCCAACAACAGTGTGAATGGCATCCCAGCAACAAAGTGAATGGCATCACAACAACAATGGGAATGGTATCTCAACAGCAAAGTGAATGACATCCTGACAACAATGTGAATGGCAGCCCAGCAACAAAGTGAATGGCATCTCAACAACAATGTGAATGGCATCCCAACAACAAAGTGAATGACATCCCAATGACAAAGTGAATGACATCCCAACAACAAAGTGAATGACATCCCAATGACAAAGTGAATGACATCCCAACAACAAAGTGAATGACATCCCAATGACAAAGTGAATGACATCCTGACAACAATGTGAATAACATCCAGTCATCAATTGAAAGTCAAAATAATACACATATTTGAAGCAGGGTATTTCAGAGCATCAAAAACCTCTGACTGGTCCATAAGTACAAATTCATTAATTTTCTTACAACAGAAATTCCAACCATACTAATCTATGAGCATGATATTTCTAAACATTCCACTTTTTTAAACACTCCCTCACACTACACAACAAAATATCTGTGATAATTTATACTCCAAGCCTGTAGAGAAAATATAAAACAAAGGTTCTTTGAAACTTTCCATTAAATTCTTGGCATTTTATTACCCTGAAATTTGTTGAATAGTTAAACAGTAGTGAAGGGTTTGAGGTTTACTGAGTAATCTCAATTTGAACTGGGGAATTTCAGGGCATTATGGAAGGGCAGTAAAGAAACAGCGATTAAAAGTAACAGGAAGTAGCTCTAATCTGTCTCATAAACATTCATTAAACCTAAACACAGATTACTTCACGTGGGCATAGAAGCACAATGTTCAATCCCAACTATGTTAAGACAGTGCTGAATTTATTTCCTTCAAAGTTGTCAAATCGGTTTAGAAAAGCTAAAACTAGTAACAGTATTCTCTAATGCCAATTTTCCCCAACCATTGTGGATTCTGGGTTACATCTGGTCCTCAGGAAATATGTTTGGTTTAAGTGAGTCATCAATATCATCGGCGGGGGACTCCAGGAATATGCTTCACACATTGTATCAATGTGGAGAATCGAACCCGGGTCTACAGCATTATGAGCAAACACTTTAACCACTAGGCTACCCCAATGCCCTGTTTGGTTGAAACCTAATAGATCATGAGGTCAAGTTCTGTGACGGTGACAGTGTATGCGAAGTGAGTGACTGAGTTTAGCTTTATGCCGCACTCAGCAATAATCCAGCTATATGGTGACGGTCTGTAAATAATCGAGTCTGGACCAGACAATCCCGTGATCAACAGCATGAGCATCGATCTACACTACTGGGATACGATCACACGTGTCAACCAAGCCCAGCGAGTCTGACCACCTGATCACGTTAGTCGCCTCTTACGACAAGCATGGGTTACTGAAGATCAATTCGACTGACTGACTGAGTCCGCTTTTAGCAATATTCCAGCAACATCACGGCGGGGGACACCAGAAATGGGCTTCACACATTGTACCCATGTGGGGATTCGAACCCGGGTCTTCGGCGTGACAAGCCAACACTTTAACCATGAGGCTACCCCACCGCCTCAGATTAATTTAAACCCGGATCTTCACGGGTCATCATTGTATGGGCAGATCATAGCTCATAATTGTCACAGGATTGTCAGGTAGAAACTTGATTATATACTGACCGCTGTCTGGAATATTTCTGAGATTAAAACAACAGACACACAGGCCTTTCAAAGGAAAACAAAAGTCACATGTTGACAGGATGCCATTCACAGGACACCAAACATTTTTCTTGAATCTTGTTCACCACCACAGGCAGCAATATTTCAGCCATATTCAAGCAGCCTGTAAATACCTAGTCAGGACTTTGCGAACCTGCCACTAAAAACATAACCTTTGCTGAGCCTCTGTGCAATGGTTGTAAGGCAAAGACAGTCTAAGGGAGATAACTGCAGATATGCATCATTCTCTTAAGGGAGTGAGTGAGGATGGTTTTACCCTGCTCTTAGCAAAATTCCAGCAATATCATGATGGGGGACACAAGAAATGGGCTTCACACATTGTACCCATGTGAGGAATGGAACCCAGGTCTTCAGCATTACGAGCAAATGCTTTAACCACTAGGCTATCCCACTGCCCCTGTCCCTCTAAGAGACAAAACCCGAGAGAGCAGGAGTATATGAATACATCAGTCTAGTCATGATTATTAATTCACTGCATAACTTATCAATCTATATTTGTAAGAGAGTTTTACCACAAGCCGTGTCAAATCATGTCAGATGAAAACACTTGGTGTACTCCTGGCAATGTCCGAAGCATTCTTAAAATCACATACAATAAAACTTGCAAATGGCTTCAACTAAAGGTGACATGTGCTGGTACATGTTTTTCATATGTTTGTTAATTTTATATAAAAAAATCACTAGTCACAAAAACCATACATAATTACAAGGAAAGTACCAGTGTACATCGACTTCCATAACTGTGTTCTGGTCAGTTATATCACAGGATACACAGCCCTGCAACCCTCAGTCTCTAGTTAGAACACAGTTTACACAGCGGCAACACTCCAAAACCCACATCGATGCATATTGGGTTGTTGGTCTATAGTTTATTGAGGAGAAGATCATCGCATTGCTGTAAGGAGCTTGAAAATAGTCCATGTCAGGCAAACTCAGATCATGAAAACAAGTTGATCAGATTGTGTTCGCATTGTAAACACTGGCCATTATTTGGTAAATCACAATAGACTGACCACAAATATCCCTCACCCATTTATGATGACTGAGATGGGGTCACTCTGAGATGAACCTACTGGGTGTCTAAACATAAAGGCACAATGTCACACCACAGGAAGCTCCCCCAAAAAAAAAAATAATTACATAGTTAGATTACAATATTGAATTAAAAAGTTCAAATTAAATCGACTCTCGCTCCCTTTACCAGCCGAAGATTATATCAAGCGAACCCCATAGAGTTATGTCCCTTAGAGCGCTCTCCACGAATATCCTACTCACAATTTGTGATTGAACCCACCTACAACACCGCATGCGACAGTTTTCGTTGTATGGAGCAATTGTTTACATTCCATATATGGCAAGTGTTACCTGTTTCGAAGCTGTTCACCTTGAAGTTTAAATTATCGATTTCAGGAAAGTCGTAAGGGATAATAAGTCTTTTATTGCATCAATAGGAAGCTAAAGTGAGTGCATATGTCCCTAATATATAAAATATAGGCCAAAATATTGTTGAAAATGTGTAACATTTTGCCTTTAAGGTTCTCTCGTTGAAGACTTGATACCCCCTATTTTCAGAAGGGCTTCACCCAGTGAAGCATTCTTCAATGGAATAGCAGAATCCTGGATAAAACGTTTCAGCCCATGTCTTTTGATAAATGAATGAAACAGATCCCTGATTGCCTATTTCTACAACACGATGATATATGAAAGTTATAGCACGGCTTCATATACTTACATACTACCCAGTCCATGCACCAAAAAAATGACTGTACGCAACATGCCATTCTGGATTTAAAAGAAGATTTTTTTATTGTTGCTAATGATACTGTAACCCACTAATATATTTTCAATTTGTACAATGATTCAGGTGACCTTCTCCACAAACAATGAATCTTGAATCTTCTAATAAGCTGAGCTTATAATACTGAAAAACATTGTATTAGTCCGACTTTGGACTTCATGAGTAAGATACAGAATGTTATCACTCACCACTTTCTCATACAGTCTACCAAACTCCACTTTATTAGGAGTTAAAATGGCTTTTCTATAATTCTTGATAACTGAAGGATTGTCTGTCACCAGGAACAACCCATCCTGAAAGAAATGAAAAAGAATATCAACAAGTGGAAACTTTATTTTCATCACTTGTTACAAAATCGAGTTCATGTAAAATCATGTACTAGTTACCAGAGAACAGGCTGTCACAATCCCAAGAGCTCCTCCCAAAAGTTTCATGTACACCAAGTTCGGTTTGTCCTTTAGTCTACGATTGATAGGATGTTTTCATGAATACTGCGGTTAACAACTATATAAATGTTCACAGATAAATACTTTTAACAGTGCATTTACAGAAGCCTTAGTATCGGCTTAAACAAAGTTTGATTGGCATTCGAGTTCTTGTTGAGCTAACAACAATGGCAAGATAATTTTATGGATGACAACTATTGTATCTTTGAGATTTTACACAAACACAGGTCTATAAAGGGAAGTAACTCTTTTAACATTGTGACACTGTGTGGTTTTAGACCCGTGAAGGTCTGGGTTAGAATGAACCTTCAGTAACCCATGCTTGTCGTAAGAGGCGACTAACAGGATCAGGGTGGTCAGGCTCGCTGGCTTGGTTGACACATGTCATCGGTTCCCAATTACGCAGATCGATGCTCATGCTGTTGATCACTGGATTGTCTGTGGTCCAACTCCATTTACAGACCGCCGTCATATAGCTGGAATATTGCTGAGTGCGGCGTAAAACTAAACTCACTCACCTGACACTGTGGTTGGTTTGTTGTTTAACACAGCACTCAGCAATATTCCAACTATAATAATCAAGTCTGGACCATTCAGTCCAGTGATCAACAGCATGAGCATCGATCTACGCAATTGGGATATGATCACATGTGTCAACCAAGTCCGCGAGACTGACCACCTTATCCCATCAGTTGCCTCTTCTGAACCACTGTCTTGTGGTTTGGCATATGCATAATTAATGTCTAACATAACTATTTAACAGATGGAGTGAGCGAATTTGTATAATTATGATTTTAAAATTTAACATTAATAAAGTTACACCTTAATGTGGGATGAAAGCCGAAGTTGACTTGATGTTGACTAAACAAGAAACAACACTGATGAAGAGATTCGAACCAAGAACAACCGGTTTCTATCCTGCCACAGAAACAGTCAAGTCCCTATTTCACTAAATACCACTTCTAAGGAAATTGGGGCGGTGGGGTAGCCTAGTGGTTAAAGCGTTGGCTCGTCACGCCGAAGACCCGGGTTCGAATCCCCACATGGGTACAAAGCCCATTTCTGGTGTCCCCAGCCGTGATGTTGCTGGAATATTGCTAAGAGCGGCGTAAAACCAAACTCAGTCAGTCAGTCTAAGGAAATCAGGGTATGATTGATTTGTAACAACCTACAGCTCAGCTCGTACATCCTACTAATGACACAAGCATTTACATTTTTGATGATTCCAAAGACTTTTAAGGTTTTTAATACTACCTAAACACAGAAAAAGGAGATGTTAGTCCCTATAGTTACATATTATTTTCTATATCTGAAAAGAGCTAGAAAAGAAATGATGCAAACACTATTATCAGTTGTAAGAACGTAATACAAGCATCTCTCTTAATCAAGAGTATCTTCTTGGCAATAACCTACTCTCTGTGCCTCGGTTCAAACTGCAAACTTTTGGAAGGAAATCCTTTGCCTGCTCTGCCCCTCTACTCTGGAACTCTCTCCCTATCACCATTAAATCAGCAGTTGACTTTAATTCTTTCAAACGACTTCTCAAGACTCATCTGTTTTCACTGCATTATGACTAGCTACTAGTCCCTCATTGTATATATGTATATTATCCACCCACTTTGTTAGCGCTTTGAGCATGGGCCTTGTGCATGGAAAAGGCGCATTATAAGTTCACATTTATTATTATTATTATTAATATCAGTCAAGTTTTCACAAGACTGATGTAGGTGAGTGGACACTTTCCTCAGGAAGATGTTGTATAAGAGACTAAACACAAAACTTGCCAGTCTATGGCGGAATAAATCATTTCCATGGTTTGAGTATATCAACAAAATGTCTTAATACTGAACCAGGAAACATATAGTATTAACCACTAACATGTTTTAAAATGATCCATTGAACAATGTTGAACGTACAAATGACACCTTCCATACATGTAATATTCAAGCAATACTTACAGCATCTATCACCACTGGCATGTTTCTTCCTTTTGCTGCCTCGATGATTTTCTGAAAAATAATTCATGTTGAATGTAAATCACTTCCACAGAATCAGAAACCTGTGCACCCATCATGGTTGTTCACTTGACTGCAGGGTTCAAAATACCCCATACATTAGTGTGCCATGGCACGGTAAATATTGAAATGACACGGTTAAAAGATGTTCTCTGTGCCCTTTTGACACGCCTAATTTTCTGGAGACATAGCTCACATTTAGTCATTTAATCCCCCAAACAATTAATTTTTACCAAACTGAATAATACCATACATATTTGAATGCTCATAAACCCATTTCTTTATTTAACACTAAATTTCAAATGATCATCATCATTGTCATTTATTCTAAAAACATGTGGGCATACTTGATTTCTGAAAGGCACACCTAAAATATTTGTCTGGTGCCCTAAGGCACACTTAGAAGAAAAGTATTTCTATCCCTGGGCCTAGATTTTCGAAGCTCTCTTAGCGCTAAGATAGTCGTAAGTGCCATACATTAACATTACTTTACGACTATCTGAGCGTTAAGAGAGCTTCGGGAAATCTAGGCCCTGGACTGGTTACAGTTTTATTAGAATTCCTATCTGGTTAAAAATGTACAAACTGATCATTGTTATCCCAGTTAGATATTACTAAAATTCAGTTCATTTGCAAATTAGGAAACTATCAATATTAATATTGTGCCAATCTAATGTATTCAGTGTAAAATACCTATAATAGTTATTCAGTTTGTGACAGTCTGTCAATGACATAATTTGCTACTGCGAGCAACTAGCAACATCAGTGGGGATTATGAGTGCAGTGTGTAACAAGAAAAGGGGGAGCTTTGTGACATCTACAATCAAAACAACACTTATAAACATGATAAATGTCAAACACTGAAACTTGTAATAAATATGTTGTTTTTATCCTAAAAATAATTTCATTAGATGAAATACTTAAAACTTTTTTTTACCAGATTATAATCAAACTTTCATTCAAATCATGTTCAGAAAAACATTAGCAAGTTAAAGCTTGAGAATGAAAAATATTCTGACTAAATGGAGAACTTGAAAGCATGCCAAACAGAAAAAAACCCCTGAAATTTCATAACAAGTCCAGATGACATTTGACTTACTGTTGTAGTTGTTAGGACAGCAGTATCTCGGCCGAGCCCTGGCCCTATGACAAGGGAGTGAAGTCTGGGCAGAACGGCAGTAACACTGGCCACTGCATTACCTTCATCTCTGCAACAGGCAGGTCAGTAGAGCGAGTGAGTGACTCAGGTCAAAGTGGTTATTGTCTTGGTTTTCATGAAACCACAAATATGAACACAATACTGCCTGAGAAAGGATTATAACTGGACATAAAACCAATGATTAGCAGATCCTGGCACAGATAAGGGGATGTATCAATGGAGGGTGAGTGAATTCATCAGCATTATAAGAAGAACATAACTATATTCCCATGCATTTATGGGACTATAAACATAAAAAACAACAACAATGTGTATTCTGTGTAAAATTCTAAATCTGCGCACACTAGTTTTACAAACATAACTTCACAAACACCCCAAATGCATGTCTCTGCAGAAATACTGAATATGACATGAAACCTATTTCACTACACCTCAAGAGATGAGTTGTCCAATCAAGTTTAATTTAGGTTCAACCACCATTTTATCAAATGCTGACATAAATCCTATAATATAATAGGAATAACAAGGTACTGAGTAAATGGATTCCTTATCACATAGGGACAATGTATCAGTTAATTATGATGTTTCAGCCTATTCTGAAAAATTGGAACTAGATCATTAATCAGTGCCCCCTTTAAATACAACATGGCTGACTTCCCAATCCAACTCACAAGTAAGGTAGGACTATCAGTTCTGGATTGTAGGATTTGATGGCAGTGGCAGCATCTCGAGTGCAGAAGACGGTGGCAAGGTCTCCTCCCTAGGAGTGAAAACATCAGAGAAAGAATTAGTGAATTCCATTCCTTATGTACTTAGCTTGCTTTGACAGCGTGCAGTTTGCTTCTTGTCATCACAGGGGCAATGAGGTAGCCTAATGGTTAAAGCGCTTGCTCGTCATGCCGAAGACCCGGGTTCGATTCCCCACATGGGTACAATGTGTGAAGCCCATTTCTGGTTTCCCCTGCCATGATATAGCTGGGACATTGCTAAAAGTGATGTAAAACCATACTCACTCACTCTTATCATCACTGAGTGAAAACAGCTCATTTGAGCCACTCACCCATTCAGAGTTAGCTGTCTTTGAGCATCATCCTGCATGAAATATACAGGGAAGACAACTGTCAGCATTAGGGGAGGTTGCAGATATTAACCCCTTTTATACAAGAGAGATCCGAACCCCTGTCGTAGTAGGGTGAGTAATAACATAGCGAATACGCAAGATGCCAATTTTTACTATCCTGCTATGACAGTGTGCAATTTACTGAATACACATCTACTTCAATCAAATTTTGGTAATAAATCACCAAAGCTACAAAAGTACTGCAGGGTCTTCCAAGAAACATTTGAGAGAAATATTGTCAACATTTCTGATTGTTTAGTGGCCAAAAATACAATGTATTCGTGGCTAACGGTATCAGCCGAGTTGGCCCGAGTGACCCTGATGTGTTGTATGGGCAACTGAATAAGCTGTTGGTCACCAATCAACTACTCATGAGGAAATATTAATGATAACTGGGGTGTATGTCAGTAGCAAGAGGTTCTGCACAAAACATGTTACTGAAATAGTTCCTCTGCTACTTCATGAAAATAGCAGCAGCTCAGAAAGACAACGTTTCGGTCCAGCTAACCAGTGGTTAAATAGAATGGTATAGTTTCTTTTAACCCAAATCTTTGGGAAAACAGGAAGGCTTGAAAAGGAAAAACACCAGTGTCACAATGTGCAATGACTGGCATGAAGTCAAGTTTGGATGAAGAGCATTGTTATGCAATGTTGTTTTCAAACTGAGGACTTGTGCAGCATGCAGCATGGAGATTCAACTCACCACTCTCAATGAAGAGATCGCAGCATAATATGGCGCTCCAGTGTATCTGAAACAGATAGGACCCACATTGTGTAGGGAAGGGTGGGGTTTTTTTCCACATTTTTTATAATTTTTGTATATTTGTTACATTTTTACAGAGACTCATACTCATTACAATTCATAATAACTGACAAAAAAGTAAATGGCAGCTACTTATAAAACATGTCAATATTTGAATTTATGGAGGCAACACATTTAGTTAGTCTATAATAGTCAGTTAGGTCCCTTTGGATTTCATTGAATTCCGGCACTTTCTTTTGTGATCTTCTGGTGAATATGTAATGTTTTGTTATTAATGTGATGATGTTAAGTGGGTTATTATTCCTTTCGATATAGCCAAAGAAAACTATTCCTTTGGCCATATTTATATTTATCTTAGCTTCTGATAACAGCCAATTCTTCAAATCATTCCAAACAGAGCATAAATAATGGCATTCCCAGAACAAATGGAATATAGATTCCTTCTCTGAAGAATAATAGCTGCTTAATCACTTTCAGTGTATCCCACTTTATAAAGGTGAGAATATAGAACAAACTTTATGGATAACAACTTCTTTTTATTTTTATTTTATTTTAATTTTTTTCTAAAAAGACTGACTGACTGACTGAGTTTGGTTTTACGCCGCAAAAGTTTACGTTTTTAGCAATATTCCAGCAACATCACGGCGGGGGACACCAGAAATTTTCTAAAAAGAAGTTGTTATCCATAAAGTTTGTTCTATATTGTACTTCCCAACTTCTAAAATGCCACTCAAAGAAGTTAAAGGTGAGAATGTGTGGGTAAGACATTATGCAACATCTGATACTAGAACCATTGAAACTTGGTTGAATCTGTGGATTGAAATACTAACAAATCATAGCTTGTGCATTCTCTATATATTTACAAGTGGGTCAGACTCAGACTAGTCAGGTGTTTAATGCACTAACGCACTGAAAAACAACAACCCTCCCCCAATGCATGGCATAGTTTTAGATGTCCCTCTCTATGTGATTGTACATTTAACTACCCTTCCAGAAAAATAAATAAAATGCAAAAGCATGGTAATATGTTCACATTTTAAAGTAGAATGTTACATTTTTTAACAGTACACACAGCAAGGCTTTGTGATCATGCAGGTGTCATCGAAGCTTGATTTATGTACCGGTCTCATGTATATGTACATGATATCACCAACTGCGATATATTTATAGGTTGCAATTAGAAAGAGAGGCAAGCCAGAGAGCCAGCTGCTGGATGTGATCAGAGGTTAGCTCGGCAACCAGTTAAACAATGGTCTCCATGACTACAATTAGGATGTGTTTGTGTGACATTTCTTCTAAGCAGGAAACAGCACAATGTTTCGACTCATGGATTTTTACAAATTCACCAACTGCGATAATGTACACTAGTTCTGCCTATCAATTAGATAATATCGATAACATGTGAGGATAATACCCTCTTTATCATATTGGGTCGGTGGGGTAGTTTAGTGGTTAAACTTAAAGCATTCGCTCGTCACGCCGAAGGCCCAGGTTCGATTCCCCACATGGGTACAATGCATGAAGCCCATTTCTGGTGTTCCCCCACCGTGATATTGCTGGAATATTTCTAAAAGCGCGTAAAACTAAACTCACTCACTTTATCATATAATGTCATTCTTAAAATTACTCTTAAAAAAACAAGCAAATCATACATGAATTTATCAATAAATATCTGTTGTAGTAATGTTGTGTAGAAATGCAAATCAATGGGGAAAAAATCAACAGAAACAAAAATCCCATTTCTTTTGTCCCCATCATGATCTTGTTTTAATACTGCTAAAAGTGGCGTAAAACCTAACTCATTCATTAACTCATGCCTATGTACTACATTCACTTACTCCCGACAGCCGCCAATGACACCAACCCGGCCGGCCTGTCCCTTGTGTCTGTTGTAGGAGAGTGGAGGGATGACAGCCTTCACCATCTGCTGCAGCTCTCCTAGACTTGGATGACTTGACATGTTGTGTGCTCCCAGATAGCCTGGCACAAAACACAACTGACGTGTTAGCAAGGTAGCACACTGCACAACAAACAAGTATAACGTAATGGAAGAATAGAAAAGAGCATTGCCCAGTCCATTCACAGTCACTTTACTAAGTTCTACAATAACCATTGTCTTGGTTATTTTGGTTCCATGTAACAAAACAGAAACGTCCTTATTGGTTCCATGTAACAAAACAGAAACGTCCTTATTGGTGCAGTACATATACGCACTACAAGTTAGTACATTGTCAAATGTTTTGTGGCACAGATTGGTTTAGCAGTGTCTTCAACTAAGAATTTGAAGATGATGTATGTAATGATAGAAGTCATTCCAGAGTATGGGGTAGGGGCTGCAACCACAAAGACTCCATCACTCATAGCTGTTTTGCTGTAGATTAATGAATCTATATAGTTCCTTGGTGCAGTATGTATTAATTACACACATGTTTAAAGTCAGAGTATATTGTCAAATGCTTCAGAACATGATGTCCTTATTGATAAAGGTAAACTGTTCCTGGAATTGGGGATGCAACAGAGAATGTATGATCATCCACCGCTGTGTTGCTGTAAGGTCAAGCCAGTATGTCAGGGATAGAAATACTTTTTTTTCTAAGTGTGCCTAAGGGCACCAGGCAAAGATTTAAAATGTGCCTTACCGAAATCAAGTGTGCCCACTGTGGCACGTTTTTCAGAATAAATGACTGTAGCAATGATGATCATCATTTGAACCTGTTTTCTGTTATCACTGATATGTCTTCTGTTTAAGAAGGCTTTCTTAAACTTCATTTGTTCTACTTTCCCAACACCTTTAATAGCTAAGAATTTTCTGAGAGGTTCACTTGTTCAATATATCTTACATACACAATTATCTCTTCAATAACTGAACTATCAGTACTCCCATCACTCTGTTTGTCACTTGCATAAATGTTTTGGGGATTAAATGACTAGAGGTGAGTTATGTGTCTAAATCTTTAGGCGTGCCTAAAGGGCACCAAGACCTTTTTTTATCCGTGCCATTTCAATATTTACCGTGCCATGTCACGCTAACATATGGGGTATTTCGAACCCTGTATGTGCTTGTCAGGGGAACAGAATGAACCACTGTTTTATGTGAACAGATCAGATGTTCCATGTAAGGGAAGATGTTGTCCTTAAGATAAAGTAATGGGCGAAAAGACAAATTTTATATTGATTCTGTCGCTTGACTGGCGGCCAGTGCAGGGATTTTGAGACAGGAGAAAAGACTGCACAGCAAGTACAAGTAATAACTACAGCAACGCTTTGCAGTTTTCATATTGTGGCTGTTGAAATGCTGAAATAGGGAGAGGCTATTGTCTAGTCTTGATACCACAAGTGTTTGCAATAGAAGCTTGATCGAGTCAGTGTCCAGAGGTAACAAAATTTAGTTGATGTTATGGATTTCACAGGAGCAGTCGGCAGAACTACCAGTGAGTTCGAAGATAGCAAAACAAATTTGTGAATGTGTCAAAGGTTCATTTTAACCCAAGTGCTGTAGCTATTGCTGAGCTCTACATTAGATGAAAAGAGAAAGGTAACCACTGATAAAATTACTTAGTAGCCAACCTGAGACAGTGACTAAAACACTTCATGACCAGACAAATGTGGTGACGCCAATCAGCTACGTGCTGTTATCAACACTTTGGACCCATCTCACATATAGGTGTTTACAGCACAGGTTTTTCAATGACAAAGCAAAATACACATGAACGATATAAACAACGAACATTCATTCGATTTAAATCTAATTTGTCTGCATCGTGGAGAAAAGACTCATTGTTACGTTTACACTGACTCCCCATGAACAAGACATATTCAATAGTAAGCGTATAGTCCTGTGGTGATCTGACAGTGATCCTCGAATATTGATGATCTCACGCGATGAGCGTAAAAAACCCAGAAGAATCAGGTGTTTTCAGCGTTAATTTTCGTTGACATATACTACCGTGGCATTTATTTACCTGATCGGAGTATCCGACCCCTCCCGAAGATGTGTGACAAGGTGACTGACAATGTAAACATTTTTGACAGCTTAAAAACAGATGCTAATGTACGAATTCAATGTGGTCACGCTGACACGAATTTCGCGCACTTGCCAACTTCCGGTTTGGGTTATTCTAAAACTGCTTCCGGACATTTAGTACGATTTAGATAATCGGGAAAATGTACTTCTGATGTAATTTCTTTTCCTCTGTCATCATAATGATAATTTTAAACTAATACTGTTCCTATACTGACAAATGCGCACAATTACTGTTAGTAGCTGGTCTTACGTTGTGAAATTCTGATCATAACATAGCATTTTAAGATGCGCACGTAAAATATACTCTGTTAGTTCCGTAATCTGTGCAAAGAAAACGTTCAAGTATCTGGAACACGATCGGAATTCAAGATGTCTCTGTTCCAATAAGACCTAAAACTTTTACGACTTTATTCGTTTTCTTGTTTGTTTGTAATGCCTCTTTCACTATTTTTGTCTGACCTCTTAATCTACCGATACGTTTGCTATGTGTTCTCAATCTTTAACTTTCTTCTATAAAACAACACTCTTCAATATTCCAGCAAAATGACAACGGTCCGTAAATAATCGAATCTGGACAAGACGCTCTAGTGATTGACATCATGAGCATCTATTCGCATTGTTGGGATATGCTGACATTCAATCAACCAAGTCAGCGAGCTTGCCCCCTATCCAATTCGTCCATCATTTCGACAAGCCCAGGTAATGTTACAGGTTACTGGTTGCAATTGTTACAGGTTACTAGTTGCATATTCTAGCCCAGAATCCCAACAGGTAGCCGTCCTCACAAAAAACAACATTTATATAGTTGTAAAACACACCCAAGATTCAGACACACTATATGGCTTAACATGACTTACCTATTCTATATCAACTCTTCTATGGCGGGCGATACTGTTATCAGCACAATGAAACGCGACATCCAGGTCATTGGATATGATATATTAATATCACTCAAATTATGTACATATGTGCGCATTGTACAAAACAGCTATTCTTCACGAACTGGATTCGTACGTGCTTAGAAATTGTGTAACACGAAGCGCTGTGCAACATACAGGCGATTTCAGCTGACAAGAGAAAAACGAAAATAATATGTTGGGCCAACAGAATGCTATCTGGAATATTATAGTGTTTCTTTGCAGTACAATCGTGCTTCCTCGCTTTTTAGTTGCTCTTTTGTGTGGGCTTATGTTATGAGGAAGAGTTGGTTGTGAGTGAAGGTAATAGCTATCTGCTTTATAGTTTTTCATTCATCTGTGTACCTTGAAACGACGTGTTGCTCATAATAAAGAAGTTGACATTAAAATTCTCATTTTAATGTGTGTCACGTCTAAATGGTGTTGAAAAACTCAGATGTATCTACATTATCAAAAGCACCATCTGGATATTGTTTGTCATGATGTATCGCTCCAACGGCTGGAAATAGTGTTTCAGTTGAGAAAACCCATTAACTGAGTCCATTTACAGATTCCGACGTAATCAAAGGCAAATATGTATACTATGGTGACCTTATCAGTAATGACTGACTGACTGAGTTTGGTGTCGGCGGGGACACGCAGAACATTGTACCCATGTGGGGATTCGAACCCGGGTCTTCGGCGTGACGACCCAACCCACTGAATACCCACCGCCCTAACGGTAACAACACAAACATGGACACGCGTCATAGTTGGTGGCTGATAGTGCCTTTCACCGAGATGCACGTGTGCACGAGTTGGACTTACCGTAGACGTGTTTATGCACTTCATTTGCGATTGTTCAAAAAATACTGTAATGACTGATGTTCATTTTCAATATGATGTGAAATTCCAGCATGGAATACTTAGATGGAAGAGCTCTATTTTTCGATTATGTAATACATTTTCATTGTTATGTTTTCAAAACGTTTTTCGTTGTTTCATTATTAGAAATCTCCAGTTGCCAAAACAGGAGACTTACCTGACAAACCTCTCTCTTCAGGATCGTGTTCATTATATGTTATGATAAGAATTTAAAATCAACTGCAGATCAACCAAACCACTAAGGACTGATCATCCGATTATAACACCGTTTTGGGTTGGTTTTGTATATTATGCAACAGGAATACGTATTTAATCTTTTGTAAAGGCATTGACAGCCGAATCCAGCTCGTCCCTTATTTCGACAAGCCCAGGTAATGTTACAGGTTACTGGTTGCAATTGTTACAGGTTACTAGTTGCATATTCTAGCCCAGAATCCCAACAGGTAGCCGTCCTCACAAAAAACAACATTTATATAGTTGTAAAACACATCCAAGATTCAGACACACTATATGGCTTAACATGACTTACCTATTCTATATCAACTCTTCTATGGCGGTCGATACTGTTATCAGCACAATGAAACGCGACATCCAGGTCATTGGATATGATATATTAATATCACTCAAATTATGTACATATGTGCGCATTGTACAAAACAGCTATTCTTCACGAACTGGATTCGTACGTGCTTAGAAATTGTGTAACACGAAGTGCTGTGCAACATACAGTCGATTTCAGCTGACAAGAGAAAAACGAAAAATAATATACTGAGTCAAAAAAGAAACTTCACATTCTTTTTTCAGGGCACTATAAAAGAACAAGAGATGGTAAGATGGTTAAATTGTTATTATTTCATTGCTGAGATCTGTGTGATGTACTCTGACAGTGCCATAATCAGTTCCATTAAGCTACACCGCCGTTCCAAAACATGGGTATACAGAATGTCAAGTCACAAGAATAAAAATGCGAAATTTCTCAGTTCAATATCGTGTATGGCCGCCCCGCGCATTCACCACTGCCAAACACCGTCTCCTCATCGACTGCCTGATGCTTGTGAACACGTGGTTGGGGATTCTGCGCCATTGCTCTTGCAAGGCAGCGCCAAGTTCCTGCAAATTTTGAGGTTGGTTCCTAAGACCACGAAGCCTTCTCCCAAGTGCATCCCAAACGTGCTCTATTGGATTAAGGTCAGGGGACCTCGATGGCCAGTCCATGACGTTGATTCCAGCGTTTTGAAGGAAATTTCGTGTCAACATCGCGGTATGCGGCCGAGCATTATCATGCTGGAACTGTAGACCTGGGCCATGAGCCGCCATGAAAGGAACGAGTTCAGGGGTGAGCACCTGGTCGCGGTAAGCAGCAGCTGTGAGGTTTCCACGGATGACCAGAAGTCGGGAACGGTTGTTCCCACAGAAAGCACCACACACCATGCAACTTCCGCCCCCGAATCTGTCGACTTCCTGTACACAACATTGGGCATACCGTTCATGACGTCGTCTCCAGACTCTATGCCTGCCGTCCGCGAATCTGAGGGTAAACCTGGATTCATCGCTAAAGACGACTCGATTCCAGTCTCTCTGGGTCCATCGGAGGTGACGTTGGGCCCACAGCAGACGTTGACGTTGATGAAACGGCGTCAATATTGGCCCACGATATGGACGTCGAGAATGGCGATTGGCAGCCACGCAACCGATTTCGAATGGTCTGTGAGGACAGTCGACCTCTAAACATGTCAGCCCTGGTTCGTGTAGCCGGCAGAAATCTGTCACGTAGGTGACGTAGGACGATTTGACGGTCTTCTGCTCGTGACGTCACACGTGGACGACCCGACCTTGGGCGATCAGAAGTGGTGCCAGTTTGTTGTAGACGACCTCGCAAGTCATACACAGTACGACGG